TCCCGCTCAGTGGATCAGTTGCTAAAGAGGCAGGATGCAGCCTGCAGAGAGGCATTGGGCACCCTGGCTAGATTTGCTCGTCTCGTTAACACATCCTCCTGGTTGTGGGAATCAGCCACTCTAACACGGTAGTCCTGTAAACCGGGGTCCTAATGCGCTTTGCTTGCCTAATACGTTATGTGGGTCGGAGCTGGGGGTCTTGATTTGGATCATCTGGATGTAGGGATTAATAAATTGTGAGAATCTGTCCTTTAAGTAATCCGCTCGGGTGCAAAGAAAACCCCCTCTCTTTGCTAGGAAACCACTGCAAGCTCATGGGAGTTATAGTCCAAAACAGCTGGAGGCTGCCTCAGTTTAGAAACGGATTCGAGTATTTATGAATCCGATGCCATTTTATCCCACGTGTCAAGCATTGCCTTAAGCGCAGACATTAAGGAGATTGAATTGGGGGAGGGGGCCCTACAGATGGCTGTACACGTGTCTTCCTATTAAAATGCATCAGGCCAGCCTTGCAGTGTTGCAGGGGAGGGGGAATCCGGTTCTGTGAATCCTAGACATCTGTCGTCCCCCCCCACACACACACACACTATCTGGTTGAGGATTTAGGTGAGAGAGCGAACCTGTAATTGAAGAAGTCGAAATAAGTGGAGGCTCCCCTTGTACATTTGAGGAGTTAACATAATTAGTCCCGATTTGCATACTTTCATTTTCCATTCCCTTCAACGGTTGGCTGCTGCCCCTCACTTCTGCGCAAGCGTCTTAAAATCTGCCCATTTAGGCTATTTTGTACATCTGTGGAAATCCATAGCAGTAAGGCTACAAACTTTTACATTTTTATTGAAAGTTTGTTATAGATCACAAAACTGCGTAAATTCATGAAGAGGAAAAACAGTGCAAAAGAAAAGAAGAATAAAAGCAAGAGTACAGGAAAATACAGAAAGAAATAGAAGTGTCTAATTTCTTTGAAGCAAATATAAATACAATCACAAAACTATTTCTTCCTTTGTGACCACAAAAGAAAGCTCATTCTTTTCTATAATCCAGCCTTTTTTCCCTCCGCATCAGAATCACAAATCATAAATTCAGTTTCTTTCTGCTTTATGCAAAAAGTCTACAAGGGGTTTCCACTCAGCCATAAATGTAGATATTGTGTTTTTCCCCCGCTCTCTCTAATCAAAGACACTGATGCCTTTATGAATGTGTTTCACAGAGATATTTTCCCAGTACAGCAAATGGACTTTTGGCAGATGGTTACTCTACGCATGTGCCAAAAGGCTCTGGATAAGCTAGCTGCAAGTTGCAAAGTTGGGGAGGGGGGAAGGGTTGTGGGTGGCTGTGGGGGTCTGAGGTCTGGAGGGGAGACATCTGGGCTGAGTGAAACAGTTTCTAGCCTGGGAAAGGTTACAATGATTACTTGTCATGAATGAATTGGCTTAATAGAACTGGAAACATTGTAGCCCTGGTTTGCATGAAAGAATTTAGGAAAAACAAAGCTGTCCAGGGAAATGGCAAAACTTTAAATATCTTTTCAGCTCACTATGAAAATTACAGATATGAGAGTATATAGAAGAGATATATAATACTATTAATATTAGAGCAATCAATGATGCAATGTTAAGTATATTTTCTTAGTACTCTGGCGGAGTTGAAAGCCTTTATTTCTCATGGTGTGTTTAACTGTATTGGGTTTTGCCCTCAATGAACTAATCAATAAAGTAGAAGGAAAATAAAATGCAACTTGAAGGAGCTGGTGTAAGGGTCCACCAACTTCAATTAGAATAGAGTTGGAGGAGACCTTTGAGGTCTTCTAGTCCAACCCCATCCTCAAGCAGGAGACCCGATTCCAGTGATGGCAAACCTATGGCACAGGTGGCATGCGAAGCCATCTCTCTGGGCATGCGAGCCGTCCTCCAGGTCAACTCTACTGCACATACGCCTCCCACCAGCCAGCTGATTTCCGGGTCTCTGCTGGAGACGAGTGCACATGCGCCGAGGGTGTGTGTGCAGGGGGCATTGCAACCTCAAGTGGCTGAAGTGCCCACGACTTCTGAAGCCTTTCCACTGGTTAATTGTCCTCACTGATGGGAAGTTTATCCTTAATTCCGGGATTGCTTCTCTCTTTGATTAGTTTCCATCCGTTGTTCCTTGCCTTGCCTTCTGGGGCTTTGGAAAAATAAATCGATCCATTCTTCGTTGCATTTAATGGTGGGTCTGTGAAAGAAAAATGG